CTGTGACAGGGTACAGCCTAGTATATGGAAACCTAGGTAAGAGGTTGTTGCAATAATCTGGACTGAAGTTACTGAGGAATAAGGTTAAGGGAGTTAGCAATGGAAATATTCTTTTAAAGGTACATACCTTAAGAATCTCAAAAGAAACTGAAAATTTGGGACAGGAAGAGGCCACTTGGGGAAAACTGTCATCTTGTCTGTCAATTAGGATTTTAACGTATTTTTTTATTTCAAATAATCATTATACATAATTATATCTTAATGCACAAAGAAGAGTATGTAGAGTCAATAAAGGTAGAAATCACCAATGAATAAAAATACATATTTGTACTAGCTCTTAAGACATAAGAGCTACTAAATGTTGGCAATGTATACCTATTACACCATCTGAATGTACTAACTTGAAACAGCAAGTTTTTCCCTATTCTCTCAAGATCAAAAGACTGCTCTTAGGAAGCCCCAAAAGGCATGAACTCTCTGGAGGAAATACCATGCTCAGGCTTCCCAGAAGCGCAAATCTGAATACCATTAGCAAAGAAGGGATGGCTTGCCTCAAACTTCTCGGGAATATACAAGGATAAAGGTCATTGCTAAGGCAGCCAGGACTCAAACTACCCAGGGACCCAAAGCCTGAAGTCAACACCTCCTATAAGATATGGAAACAGGAGACTTCCGGCAAAATGGTGCTCTAGGCAGAAGCACCATGCCATCCCTCCACAGCAAAGATCCAAAAAACTAAGCCAAACAGAGAAAACAACAATCCTGAAACCCTGAAACATCAAATGAAGAGATAAAGAACTCAGCCAAGCACCAAATGGAGTGAGAAAACTGACAGACAACGGAGAGCGAGGAGAGATTCATGCAGAGGTCCCCTATCAGCTAACGCAGTGTGGATCCACCATCTTGGACTCCTATCGGAGACCAGCAAACAGGAGGTACGAGAAAGCAGCTTCACGGAGCTTCCAGCGGGAGACAACACAACCGGTAATGTGCGATATTCGCTTTCCCACTCCCCACCCTTCTTCACCCCTACTTGGCCTCCTCTGCTTCCCGCAGCCACAATCTCTTGTCTGGGAAGCACCGGTTACTTGGATTACACCCACCCGAATGGGCCGGTTCTCTGAGTGCCATTTGTTGGCTGCTGGCGTTGCTTTTTTTCTGCTTCTTTTGATTTCTTCCTTACCTCTCACCACCTCCCCCTCCTATAGCTCAAATACCTGGCTCCATGCGCCATCTTTGCTTCTTCCTGAGGGGCTGCAGAACTCCATTCGAGTGTGGAGCTGCTTCCCTGTCTGGGCTGCTGCACTGGTGGGGTCCCAGGGCTTTTGTTTTTTTGTTTTGAATTGTTTGTTTGTTTTCTTTTCCTTTTCTTCCTTTTCTTGAGTTGGGAGCCCATTCTGGCTAGGTGGTGCTGCGTGGCTTGGAACCTACCCCCTCGGCATGCATAGACGTGCAGAGGGATACCCGAGGGCAATTCTTTTTTTTTTTTTTCCTGTTTTTTGGGGGGCTTTTCCTGTTCTTTTTTTAATTTGTTTTGTTTTCTCTTCCCTCTTTTTCCCTTTTTGTCTTTCTTCATTACTCCATTTCTCATCTCTCTATACCTTCCTTCTCTTTCTGTTCCCGGAATACCTGGCGTTCTATACTTCTATGCCTTCTAGCCAGGCTGTACTGCAACACCTGAGAACAACTTCCCCAGACCTCATAGCTACACCGGTGGGATCTCTGGGAACTTTGCTGTTCTTTTCCCTATCTGATTTTTATTTACTCATTCTTTTCTTTTCTTTCTTTTTTCTTCCTATTCCCCTTTTTGTTTATCTCCATTTCATAGTCTCTCATCTCTCCACACCAACGGCAAGCTCCCCTAGCATTCTTTTCTGTTTGTTTGTATGTTTTTGGCTCCTGTTCCTCTCTCCCCTCTCCCATATCCATCTTAGCTCCGCACATCACAATCCCCCCGCTGCATCCTGCCTACATGCACCGTGCGCTTGATGTCACACCATCAAGCAGCACAGGCACGGCCTACTGGAACCTGCCCTGCACTGATTACCGACCTGCCCTGGTGGCTGTACTAAGGGCCACAAACAACCCGTCCCAGTAACTCCTCTTCAGTTAGACCTGCCCTGCCGTACCATATCTGAGTGACTGACCCTGCCAATCGGAGAAGGAGGCGAAAAGTATTATGCCCACAGATGAGCAAACAACAAAGAATGCACAGCTCCCTTGCTCACACCTAGCCAATTTTTTTAAAAAAAGGGATGAAACAAACAAATCTACAATCAGTAAACGAGCAAAATAACTACTGAATGCCAGCAGACAATATCAAAACATTTACAAAAACAGGACAGGATGGCTCCAGTAGGTGTCCAAAATAGAACACCAGATGACTTTCCAGTGGAAGAAAAGGCAATAGAACTACCTTATAGGGAATTCAAATCTCTAATACTCAGAATTCTCCAAGAGCTGAAGCAAAAAGCAGACAAAAATGAGGAAAAAATAGACAAATTTATGGAAAATACAGACAAAAAATTAGAAGAATACAGGAAAATAATGCAGGAACAAAATGCCAAAATAAATTCACAACTAGAAATTATACAAAAACAATTAGAAATCCAAAAGATAAACTACAAGATTTCAGAAATGGACGGTGTCATAGAAGGGCTGAGAAGCAGATCTGAAACGGTGGAAGACAGGATCAGTGGAATTGAAGACAAACACTTGGATACAACTCTGTTTCAGGAACACTCAGAAAAAAGAACAAAGAAAAATGAAGAGACC